GCAGCAGCAGCAGCAGCAGCAGCAGCAGCAGCAGCTGTTATGGGGTGTCTGCACAGGTTATCCACGACTGCCGCGAAGACTCTTCTGCTCTTTACCACCAGCATGGCGTGAAGCTCAATTTTGTTTTCGACACGCAAGTAAACCCTAAACCCTAAACCCTAAACCCTAAACCCTAGTGTGGACAAGTCCCTTCACTGTTGGCTGGCGAGTTATCAGAGTTACGGTTTTGCTGCCCATTGTGTTGCAGCTATTCCTCATTCTCACGTTCAGGGTTTAGGGTTTAGGGTTCAGGGTTTAGGGTTTAGGGTCTAGGGTTTAGGGTTTAGGGTTTGCGGCTTAGGTGGCCCACCAGCTGATTTGTGTGAAGAAAGGGCAGGCGCCTTACCAGGCTTCTCTTGCGGAGCTCGTGGAGACTTATTTAGGCACCACGTGAGTTAGGGTTTAGGGTTTAGGGTTTAGGGTTTAGGGTTTAGGGTCTAGGCTTAAGGGTGTAGGGTTTAGGGTTTAGGGTTTGGGATTGGGAGTCCCGTTAGTCGCTTCGCGCGCCGTTGTCTTGCAAAATTTGTAGACACTGAACCCTAGCCTCCAACCGTTAAACCCTAAACCCTAAACCCTAAACCCTAAATCCTAACGGCTAAACCCTAAACCCTACAGCCAGCGCCTCATAGAGACCCTGGATTTGCCGTTTTTGGCCAGATCAGAGGCGTGTTTCGGTCTCACTCCAGAGTTTAGGGTTTAGGGTTTAGGGTTTAGGGTTTAGGGTTTGCGCGCAGGGTGAAGGGTTTGGAGTCTGGGCGCGCTGCATTGAATTTGGATTTTTGTGGTTTTGCAAAACGCCCTTTGGCGTTTTGTCTTTTGAAATATGCAGCTTTGGGGGTTTTCTATTTGCCGCGGCTGGCCCTCGCAATGTCTTGCCAAATCAGTAAACCCTATACCCTAAACCCTAAACCCTAAACCCTAAACCCTAAACCCTAAGCCCTAGACCCTGGGCGTGCAGGCGCGCGGCGGGCGCAGAAGACGCGGGGCAGAGAGCTGCTGGGGGAAGGAGGCGCTGGAGGGGCTAGGATTTAGGAGCTGCAAGGGTTTAGGGTTTAGGGTTTAGGGTTTAGGGTTTAGGGTTTAGAGTTTAGCTTTTAGGGCTTAGGGTTTAGGGCTTAGGGTTTAGGGCTTAGAGTTCGAGTTGCGGTTGTCTGAGGCCTTACGAGTTAAGCGCAAGTAGGCCTCGAGGTGGGAGGGTTTGGCGTAACTAGGGTTTAGGGTTTAGGGTTAAGGGTTTAGGGTTTAGGGTTTACGCTTTAGGATTTGTGCAGGCCCTGAGGAGGTGATAAAGGCGAGCGAAGAATTCGTGCTGTACAGACACCTCAACGAGGCCTTTCCAAACCCTAAAGAGATGAATAAAAAAGGGACAGTCCTAGAAGGTAACCCTAAACCCTAAACCCTAAACCCTAAACCCTAAGCCCTGAACACTAGCCCGTTAGGCCCTGAACCGTAGTTTGTTGTGCGCCTGAGTACCTGTTGCTGACCCTAAACCCTAAACCCTAAACCCTAAACCCTCTAGGCGCTAAACCCTCGTCTTGTGTGCACTTGAATACCTATTGCTAACCCTAAACCTAAACCGTAAACCCGAAACCCTAAACCCTAAACCCTAAGCCTAACTTGATGAGCCCTAAACCGTAGTCTTGTGAGTGTTTGAGTGCCTGTTGCTTAGCCTTAACCCCAAACCATAAACCCTAAACCCTAAACCCTAAACCCTAAACTCAGTAAGCTCTAAACCCGAGTCTCGTGTGCGCTGGAGTGCCGATTGCTAAGCCTAAACCCTAAACCATAATTCCTAGACTCCAAACCCTAAACCCTAAACGCTAAACCCTAAACCCTAAACACCAAGCCCTACGCTCTTTCAAGCGACTGGAAACGCAGCTCTCCCGACCCACTGAACGTGAGAAGAGCTTCCTGAAGCCTCTAAACCCTAAACCCTAAACCCTAAAGTGTGGTTTTTGCTTCTTAGGAGTGGTTGTTGTGCGAAATCCGGAAAAGATAATTTTCAAGTTGAACTCAGATGTCACTGGGATTGTCTGTACACCAGCAGCACTCAAGAGGTTTCAAGATGTCCAATACGGTAGCTGCTGCTGCTGCTGCTGCTGTTGCTGCTGCTGCTGCTGTCGCTGCTG